TTTTACTTAAGTAAAATATTAATGCGGTACTTTTACTTGAGTACATTTTTTGAGTACTCTCTCCACCTCTGCGCATTTCACACCCTACCTGTGAGCTGGACCGCGTGTAGACTTGACAAGCAGAAAGGCCAGTTCTGTGAAAATATTCATCATGTCTGAGGTTCAACAAAGAAGTTTCAAAAGATGCATTCTCCTTGTGTTGCATCACTTTAGTCAGTGAGGAGAACCAGGAGGCAGAGCTCCACCCGACTAGCAACATGCTGCAGAGGAAATAACCATTTGCAACACCGAAGTTCTTTTATATAATGCATTACTACATAGGTGCATTTTCAGACTTCTGTAAGTTGATATTCGTGTCTCTTGTCTTTTCCAGTTCGTCAACGAGCTGTTGATACATTTTTTCTTCTTTGTCTTGTTGGAAAACGCTACCTGAAGAACATCAAAAGGAACAGACACCGACCAGGCCAAAAAATCTCAGTTGTTAATCACCTTCCCCCTCTATCACAGGAATAGTCGCATTTTCCTGTTGTGAAGAAATCTGACACTGACTGACAAAAATGTTGCCTCTGCTACCTGCCATTGAGTTTTGCTGTTGAAGATCAAGTTTGTTTCTAAAATGACGGTTTGCAACAGCCTTGTTTTCCGATTGAAAAGCCCAGAGGTTGTCCATATACGTCACGCTCTTGGTGACTGTAAGGGGATGTTGTGTGTGTGTGTGTGTGTGTTAGAAATGTAAAAATGGAAAACGAAAAAAAATGTTTATGTGCAAATCTGGTGCAAATATACCTCCAAACACTTGAAACTGTAAAAAAGAAAAAGGAAAAACAAACGGAAAATGGAAAAAATCTATCATTTTTTTTCCACGTTCCATTATGTTTAACTTTATTTTGGTCTCTTTCTTTGTTTTGAGTTCCCAAAACGTGATAAAGTTGAAGGGGATTGAATATTGTGAAGACAGCAGATGTGTTTTATTTGCTTGTTTTTTTTTTTGTTTTTTTTTTGGTGGTGCCATTTAGCCAGCTGACCCTCATTTCTTTGCCCACTATGATGAGAATGCCACAGCAAACAGAGCAGACTAGTTTGTCCGGAAGCATTTCCCCCCTATTTTTTAACACACTTTTCAGCAGCCATATCAGTAGCCCCAAAACTGCCATGAAAGGCCAATCCATCCCAACACAGCGAGTGTTGCGTGGTTGCTTTAACAAGCACTGCGTCTAATTGGCTGCGTTTGAGATTCCCATTCATTAGCAAGTTGGTGCCAAACCATTCCATCACACAGGTATGACAATTCCCTTCATTTTGATCTTTGTTGTTTCTTTCTCCCTGACCTTTTTTTTTTTTTCTCCCTTACATAAATTTTACTTCAACCCACTCTGTGAGTCATCTGAGCATATCCTCCACTTTAGCACGGATCCGATTTGCCACGGAAGCCAACGTGCGAAGAAAAGTGTTGTGCCTCCACACACACAAATACACAACGTGTGCTACCTAATTAGCAACAATTCTTCAGTCCTCGCCCACCTTCGAAGATGCAAGATGTAGGCAAATTAGTTCTGACCTCTTGAATTATGCATGCGCTCACAATCATACAACCATCAGTTACTATATTAATGTGTTAAATAAGTTTAAAATTGCCTAATGTGTTAGAAATACAAAGGAAGATCAGGGGCTTCGTAACCATATTATTAGGCAACGCCCCTCCCCTTCAAATTTTGCCACATATGTTACAATGAGCTTCGAACAAAGTGACGTTTTTAATAACCATGTACATTTAGTTCCCTTTGCTTCAGCCACAATCTTTGAACACTCAACGCTGCAGTGCTGGATGAGTTGTACCGCAATAAACCTGAAGCTATAATTGCAGCAAAAGTTGTCTTCTCCAGGTTCATGGGAGGGCGGAAGCCCATGCCGGCACTCATTAGTTGGGAAGTGGGCCCTGGTCTGGTTCCCCATCACAACACAGAGGGCAACATTATGTGTCTCTCTTCTAGGCAAAGCTATTGGCTGAGCTTTTGCTGCAACTAACTGAATGTGCTCTCTTTCACTTTGCAGTCTTCAAAACCCACTCAGAACTGATCTGCTAAGATGTGTTTCTCTCCTAGACAAAGCCACTAAAGGAGCTACCACTGTCATTAACTTATTTTTCCTCTAACATAGAAAATACTCTTGGATGAGGGCTTCTGTTATTCTTTTTCTTTTTTTCTTTTGTTTTTCACGTAGGTCTATATATTATGCTCTGTATTCTCAAACCCTCAGTCGGTGGTGGCAGATGACTGTTCACACTGAGCCAGGTTCTGCAGGAGATTTCTTCCTGTTAAAAAAAGAGTTTCCCTCTCCACTGTCGCTGTACGGGTTTATGAAGTGGACTTCACTGCATTGTTTGTTGTATCCACTGGGTTGTGCGATGGATGGTGCTTGTGTGAGTGTGTGTTTTTCCTACTTTCCTCTTCCTCAGGATGTGACCGGAAGGTAAAGCCTCCAGCCTGTGCTCATCAGCTGCAATCAAGGGAGCGGTATTCTGAGGAGTGATTTCTATGCTAGATCGTCAACCTACGTTCTTTGGTAACCGGTCAACTAGTTGCTCTGTTCATTAAGATTTTGCTTATAGCTTCTGGTACTTAACTCTTTCGCAGCCAGTGCCCTATGGAAGACCCACTCCTCGACCTCCAGATATGTTTCTTATGCCACACCTACTGTAGCTGTTCGCCTGGATCCTCCATCGAATCCTCGCTTGCCTCTCCAACGCTCACCTCCATCCCGGGTGGCTCGTCAACAGGATGGCTCACTGCCCCTCCCAGCCAAACTGAACCCTTGTGGATAGAGTTGCGTCCTTCTCTTCTCTTCACCATCAACCGGAACAGTAAGACCTATCTTCTTTGTTCACTGCGTGAAGAGTCTGTTCAGCATGCACTCAAATTCAACCCAGACTGGACTGTCTGCATTGGAGTCTTTTCAGCACATTCACTTTGGAATAAACTTTGCTACTGCTGCTTGCACTAGAGTTTCCAATGCAATCGTCAGGGCATTGTTGGGGTTAGGGTAAACTGTATGCACGATTAAATTCACTTTCTCGTTTTTGCAAAGTGTTTTGAGATGACGTGTTATAAACCGGCACTCTAAACAAGTTGATTGAAATGCTAGAATACTTTGTCTATAAAATATGGTAGACTTTGTCACAAAATGTCTTTGTCTGCATTAAGGTACAAAGATAGCAGCGTGTATCTGAAAAAACATAATTTTGGTGTTTCTAGAACATACTTTTTCATAGGAACCCAATCTGAAACGTTTGTGTATTCACATTAAACGGAATGCAAGTAAAGTTGCTAGAAGCTCTATGAAAAAAAAAAGTTTATTCTTCAATTGAAATTCAAATTTAAAAATACTTTATCCCAAAGGGAAATCAAATGTCGCAGCTCATCATTTTGATGGGTGTCTGAGCTCTGTGCTCTGTTTTGCATTGCTTAAAAAAAAAAAAAAAAAGCACCAATAAAACAACTATGTAGTAAATATCCTCCTCTGCAAGTATCCGCGATAGACCACCTTTTGGAGACGGACGGTTAAAACTCCAACAGTGTTATCCTCCCTGGTGTAATCTGCCTTGGCAGACAGTTGATCTCTGCAGAATACAATCACTGCCAAGGAATCAGGCTTGAATGGCAACACTCCTCTGTTGTCTCCCACTGACAATAACCGGGCCGGGTCCATCTCTGCGGTCTGGCTGCTTATCAGAACAAAGGCATCAGCTATTCTCTCGTAGCATAAACCGACCTACAACACAGAATCCCGACATCTCTGGGATGCTTATTTGTTTACGCCCAGCGTTGAGCCACGTGTATTAGGCCCAGTAATGCTAACGCGCAATAATGGTGAAGTCATTAACCCCGGAAAGGGTTTCTGTTTCAGAGCTGCCCCTCTACAGCATCACTCCGGATATGATGCTTTGCTCATTGACTATTGCCATTGATATTACAGGGAGCGGCTGAGAGGGGGGCTGGAGAGGTGATCTGACTATTATCCCTAAGCTACTCCTCTTTTGTAGGCAGATCAAAGGAGTACTTAAGCCAGGCTGCTGGATGTGTGCATGCCACGTCACCGTAGAACGGATACTCAAATGCAAAATGAAATGCTATCCATTAACAGATGAAAGGTTGCAGGCCCAAATCGTCAGACTGAAGTTTAAAAAGGGGCTAATCAGGCCCCAAGCAATTTCCAGCCGTGTTATTACAGCGGAGGTCCGGCAACATGCACGAATCTTTTTCTATTTTTATAGAAGGGGGTTTGACATTTTGAGTGAAGAGTAAAGGGCTGCCATATGATTATTTTCTTTGTTGTGTGCATGGCAGTTAAGGTGATGCGGGCATTATTGTCTGTGCTTAAGCCAGTGTTGAGAATTAGAAGCGAAATAATTTTATCAAGTTCAAAGAAGTAGAAATTTGTAATCTAATAGTTTAAAGATAGGTCAATGGTAATACCCAAATTAGAAAAAAATAAAAAAGATTACTTGCAATTTTGTATTTTAATATTTTTTATTCATAAAATCTGCTTGCTTAAAACAACCAAACGCCACAGCGAGGGGCTCATTTGTCTCTTTGATATTAAAACAGTTCAGTTTAGTGTGACTGATGGTGATCGTTTCTTAGGTGAACATTTTATTAAAGGCAATTATCTATAAAACCTTTAAATTTGATGCCTCAGGAAGCAAGGCCCTTTCTACTTTCTTCTTCAAGTGGATCTTCTCGCATTAATTGCATAAGAGTTTTAAGAGTCTTGGTGTCTCTCTTTTTTTTTTTTTTTTTTTTTTTTTTTTTTAATTGGGGGGGGGCGGGGGGGGGGGGGGG